TCCCACATGGGCCAGTGAGCTGCATCCAAGCTGAGCTGCGGCTGAGCTGCCAACAGGTGGCTCAGCTGGTAGAAGCACATGCTCCTAACAACAAGGTTGCTGGTTCGACTCCCACATGGGATGATGGCTACGCCCACCCGCAACTAAGATTGAACAGGGCACCTTGAGCTGAGGACGGCGACTGGACTTGGAGCTGAGCTAGCTGTGCCCTCCACAACTAAGACTGAAGGACAACAACTTAGCTGTTCCCCTTCCCCAATTACCCAACACTGTTCCCCTTCCTTGATTCCCCAATAAAACCTTTAAAAATAAAAAATAAATTAAAAATTTAAAAATAAACAACAAACAACATATAAAGGTTTCTAAATTCCCCCTTCCCACCCCTGCCCTCCATTATCCCACCTCTCTCCAAAGGTTCCCACCACAATCAGTTTGAAGCACACCCTTACAGACATTTCTCAGTTCAGTGCCATTGGTATAGACATCCTACTTTACAGTTTTTGTTTTACAGAATTGGATCCATCCTAAATCTCTTGTTTCTGCAATTGGCTTTTACCACTTCATGTATGTGCCGTAACATATTGATGTCACATAATGATGACAACGCTGATAAGGTCAAAACATTCTGAGTGATTCCTAGATGCCCAGCACAGTGCTAGGAGCTTAAAATGCATCTCAGTTAATCTGCACAACAGCCTCATGAGGAAGGTACTATTATCGTGCCCATTACATAGATAAGAAGACTAAGGCTGTGTCACGGATCCACATAGTGGTAGAGTCAGGGTTGGGAATCAGGCCATTTGAGAATCTAGAACCCCTAATTTTACTATCACCACCCCCTGCCTCCCTGTAGAGCAGCGGTTCTCAACCTGTGGGTCACGACCCCTTTGGGGGTCGAACGACCCTTTCATAGGGGTCGCCTAAGACCACCGGAAAACAAAAAGATATTTACATTACGATTCATAACAGTAGCAAAATTACAGTTATAGAGTAGCAACGTAAATAATTTTATGGTTGGGGGTCATCACAACATGAGGAACTGTATTAAGGGGTCGCAGCATTAGGAAGGTTGAGAACCGCTGCTGTAGAGTCTTTTTCACAGCAGCAGGGTATTTCATACTACGGAAGATACATCGCAGAGAGAACACTGCCCTACTGGTGGGAATTTGGGTGTGTCTAATTTTCCAGTAATACCAACAATGAGCTTCCTTGCACGTGACTCTCTGAGCACATGTGCGAATATCTTGCCAGAGAGAATTCTAGTAGTGAAAGTGCTGAATCAGAGCATATCCTAGCCTCGGTTTCTCCAGAAGCAACCCAGAGACAAGGATGTACAGGGGTACCTCATTTTATGCCACTTCGCAGGTATTACGGTTTTTTACAGATTGAAGGTTTGTGGCAACCCTGGGTCAAGCAATCTATGAGCGCTATTTTTTCCAACAGCATTTGCTCACTTAAGTGGCACATTTTGGTAATTCTCGCTAATAGAGGGAAGGGGCATGAGGACTATTTTTTGCAGAAGAAGGAATTAAGAGGTTGGATTCCAAGCCTGCTGCCTAAATGGTCCAAGACACAAAACTTGGGCAGAAGGTAATCAATGCCAGAGCCATGTGGACCATCCTATTAAGCCCAGGGTCAATTAAACACAGGCTGTGCTTTACAAGAGCTAAGAGCCAACGTGCCTCTATTCTTCTTGCATCTTACTGAAGTTAAAGATAAACTTACCATTGTTCTTCTATCCTCCTTCCCCACCCCACCCCCACTATACCAGTGAATTTTCCATGGAAGCAGAAAACACAGATACACCCTAGGCCAGGGGATGGAAGGGGTCTCTCTTCCACTAGCAATAAGAGACCACCACTCTGTCTATGGGGCTGGGCGGAGGGGAGAGGGGGGTTGTTTTCTTACTCTCTGCTAAATAAACTTATTTTACTTTAAACTCTATATAGGCTCACGTTTGAATTCTTTCCTATGTGAAGCCAAGGACTCTCTTGTCTTTTCCTGTATCATTACCACATTTCACTTTTTCATCATCATGATGCAGCACAGTCTAGTGTCAACATAACTTTTCGTGTGGCCTAAGAAACCTAAAAATCCGTGCGACTTGATTTATTGCGGCATTTGCTTTATGGCGGTGGTCTGGGACCGAACCTGCAATGTCTGCCTGACTATGTAACTTGTAGATCTGGGAGGTGTATAGAATCCAGGCAGCAGCATGGGACGTGGGACGTGGGAAGGGAAAGCAACAGGGAAGGCTAGGTTGAGAACTGTTCCCAGGGGTGAAAGAGCTGGGTATTTATACACCAACTCCTGTCCGTCATTAGTGAGAACTCCTGAGGAGGGAGGGGCTACCTTCCCAGCTTTTCCACCCACCACGCTTATCAGGGATTTGGAAACAGTGCTGGCGGCTAGAAGACAACAGAAACCCATCCAAATGGTCGGGGCCCAAGGACCTGGGCAGGGCCCTCCCTGGCCGTGTCTGTTGCAGAGGGATAAGCATCTTAAACATTGATGGATTTTGCCAAAATGCCCTCCCCGAAGCTCTAGTTATCATACCCACTCCCACCAGCAATGGGAAATGAACGTGTGTCTGCCACAGTCTCGTTCCGGCCGATTTGGTAGGGGCCTCCTTGTCCCATTGCAATTCCCAGTAGTCACTGGTAGTCCTTCTTTCGACGGCCAGGTTTTTCAACTGGAATACAATAAAACCTTGGATTGGGAGTAACGTGGTTTGCGAGTGTTCCGCAAGACGAGCAAACATTTCTAATACATTTGAACGTGGTAAATGAGCGATGTCTTGCAATATGAGTAGTTTGTTTCTGGAACGAATTATGCTCGCAAAACAAGGTATTACTGTATTGGCCTTTTCTTCTTGACTTGTAGTAACTCTCTATATAATGGATATTAGCCCTTTGTCCTGTCATGCCATGCATTTTGCTTAAGCTATGCCCTTGGCCTTGAGGACCAAAAAAAACAAAAAACGGTTTCTGATCATAAATTCCCAACTGGGCAGGTTGTGGTGGGTAGTCACGCCCCAGGCCTCTAACTTCTGTAGGGAAAGGTCTTAAGCCAGCCCTGTGTTGTGCTTGTGTATCGAGGCTAACACACCTTTGAAATGCCATAAGTAATACCCCTGGAAGGGGCATTAACCCTCAAGAGGGCACATAATCTTAACTGTCCTGTGATCCAATCCCCTCCTTGCTTTCTTCCACCTCCATGTATGTCCCCTCCTTAATTCCAAATGCATAAAAGAAGCTGCAAAACTGTCATTCTCGGGAGCATTTGAGATCGTGCTCCCCGGCATATGCCGTCAGTTTGGCTCAAATAAGCTCTTATAAAAATTCTCTACAGATTGGGCTGTTTCTTACGTTGACAGCCTAGAAGGTCCCCTTTCTCAAGCGTTTTGTTCAAAAGCTTTGTCAAAACCATCTCAACTCCATTCGGATGGCTATTATTACAAATAAATAAATAACACGTGTTGGCAAAAGTATGGAGAAATCGGAATCCTTGTGCCCTGTTGGTAGGAATGTACAATGGCGTTGTTGCTATGGAATACAACATAGAAGTCCCCCCAAAAAACTCAAAATAGAACTGCCATATGATCCCACAAATCCACTTCTGGGTATATACCCCAAAGAAGTGAAAACAAGGTCTCAAAAAGGTACTTATATACCCATGTTCGTAGCAGCATCATTTGCAACGGCCAAAAGGTTTGAAAACAAACCCAAGTATCCCTCAACAAAAGGATGGATACAAAAATATGGTGTATTCATATAATGGAATATTATTCGGCCTTACAAAGAAAGAAAATTCTGACCCGTGCTACCATGTGGATGAACCTTGAGAACGTTACGCTAAGTGAAATAAGCTAGTCACAAAGACAAATGCTGTATACTTCTATTCCTATGAGGTACCTGGAATAGACAAATTCATAGAGGCAGAAAGCAGAATGGTGGTTGCCAGGGGCTGGGAGGAGGAGGAAGTGAGGCGTGGGAGGGGAGAGGTGGGGATGGTGGTGACTGTTTAACGGGTACAGAGCTTCAGTTTTGCAAGACAAAAGAGTAAAAGAGTTCTGGAGATGATGTTCCTGATGGTTGCACAACAATGTGAATGTACTTAATGCCACTGAGCTGTACACTTAAATATGGTTAAGATGGTTAATTTTAGGTTGTGTATATTTTGCCATAATTAAAAAAACAAAAATACTTTGTCAAATCACAGTGCCACCTCCTCACAAGCCCTCTCTGAACTCCCACCGACACCAAACTGGAGATGAAGTTTCTTTTCTCAGAACCCCCTGGCCCTCTCCCCATGCCTGCCTTGATCACTTGTTCTCAACTGATGCAACACAGCCTACTGTACCGATTTCCTGTGTGGTTCCGTCTGCCCGGCACACCCCTCCTTCTTTCCCCCAGTTAATCCACACTCATCCTCTAGTTCTTAGTTCCCAAGATGCTTCTTCTGGAAAGCCTTCCTTGACTACCCCAGCCTACGTCAGATCCCACAGTTATAAGTTCTCATCGCCCCAGGACTTTCAAATCCCCCAGTTATTTGTAGGATCACAGATTTGTGTAATGTCTGCCTCTCTCCCACCAAAATCTTGCGCAGTGCCTGGCACGTAGTAGGTCCTCATAACTGTTTTGCCACATACTCTGGGCACCATCTCACTCAGTCATCATAACAGACCTAGGAAGTTGGTACAATTGTTTCCACTTCCCGGATGAGAAAACCGAGGCCTTCCCTGACGGCCTGAGGCAAAGCAGCCACCCCTTCCCTAGCTCACTCCATCACATCTCCGTTCTCTTTTCTGTTATTCTCACCGCCAAGCGAAATCATCCTGTGGGTCTACTTGCTGACTTGTTTCTCATCCGTGTCCCCCGCTAGAGTGTAAGCCCCGTGAGGGCAGGGACCATGTTTATCTGCTCCCTGCTACACCTCCAGCATGTGGCACAGTTCCTGGCACATAGTAGGTGCTCAATAAATATTGGTTGACTTAGTGACTACTCAAAAAGAATGTAGGTGAGGAGCGGGTGGCCTTTCCAAGCCTGCAGACTCCTTGGACAGTGGCAGGCCAGAGGCCGGGGGGCTTCCAGAAGGCAACTGCCTGTGTCTATCCCGGGAAGGTGGTGTGAATTCAGCATGAGGTGGCCATGAGTTCACATCCCAACTCCTGTCATTTCCCTCATGGCGTCCTCAATGGCAGCACAGCGATAATCATACCCATCTCAGAGGGGGCGGGGGGAGGGATTTGGTGAGCTTGGTACAGCGCTCGATAACTCAGATGATCTGGCACGAACTACAGTTAACCCCAGTTTTCCTGCCCCCCAGGAGCATGCCCCAAGAGGCAGCAGTCAATTTTAGAACCACAAACCACTTTCCCACCTGTAAAATGGGTATAATTACCTATTCACTTGCCTCGGATGGGTGGGCATGAAAGCACTTTGCAGCCCTATAAAGTTGGGGAGGGCACTAAACACTCTTAGCCCATTGTTACAAGCGGGGAGGGACATTATCTCATTCTCCAGCTGAAGAAAATCCAAGGGGAGAGCTCCAGCCCCCTGCAGCTGGAGGGGACTCCAGGGGGTCATCCTGAGCAGTCCCCTGCCCTCAGTCGCTCACTCTGGATCCAATGTGACCTCTCCTCCCCTCACAGACATCGAAATGATGCAAGTTCTCAATGACCCATAACCTCCCTTTCTGGGAGGAAGCCTGCTTGCCTCTCACCTAAGCAACACCATTGCTCCTCTCTGCATGTATCCAAGTTAACGGCACACCATCCCCCCGGTTGCTAAGGCCAGGAATCTGGCCACCTTTGACCCCTCTCTTTCTCCCAACTCCACACCCCTCCGTCACATCATCAGTATATCCCACTCCTTGTGCCTCCAACATTTATCCCAAATCCTACCACTATTTTTCTATATCCCACACTCACCATCGCTCACCTGGATAGCTGCAGGAGCCTCCCCACTGGTCCCCCTGCTGCCACTCTTACCCCCTCTAGTTCCATTCTCCCAGAGGAGCCAGAGAGATCCCTTGAAGGAACAAATCTGATTTTGACATCCTTCTGCTTAAACCCTCCAGTGGCTCCCCACTATTATAAAACAAATCTCACCTCCTAGTCTCAGCCTATAAGATCTTTTGTAATCTGGCCACCACTACCTCTTCATCCTCATCTTTTAACACTGTCCCCCTCACGCACCCTATTCCAGTCATTCTGGCATCCTCACTGCTACAGGAACACACTACGCGTGCTTCAGGGCCTTTGCACCTGCTATTCTCTTCTGCCTGGAATGCTCTTCCCCCAGATATCTGTATAAGTGGCTTCTATTCTCCATTCAGGGCTTGACTCAAAGGTCGCTTCCTCATAGAAGCCATCTGTGACCACCCAATCTGAAACAGTTGGAAATATACCCTCCCCCATATCACTTGATCCTATTATTTGCAGGACACTTAGTATCTTACCACCTTCATTTGAAATGTTTGCTTCTTTATCTGTCCTCCCAGGAGACTGTTAGCTCCATGAAGACAAGGATTTTTGTGCCTGTTGTTGCCTGGTATATCCCAGGGATCAGCTCAGTGCCTGGCACATAGTAGATGCTCAATAGGTATGTGATGATTGGATGAATATACCCCCACCCGATGCCAGCTTCCTGCATGGATACTCACATCTACCATGAGGGTCTGGTTCAAACCGGAGGCTGGAAACTCGGGGCTGGTGTGGGTCCCCATAGAAGGGCCACTGGCCCTGGACACTGTCCCCATCAGCAGCACGCAGAGTAAATGCAGCACCCAGGGCACATTCAGCTGTCTGCCGGCCATCAGCCCCCACGGGGCCTGGCCTTCACACTCTGCTTCCTCTTCTGCAGTGTTTCAGTTCCAAATGGCTGGCAGCTCCAGCGACCTGCAGGGTGTGGGAAAGAGGGACAGTGTCACTGAAGACCCCAGGACCCAGCAGGAGGAGCCTGAAAACTTTTCACCTGAGAAACTGCCCATTCTCCTCCCCCCACCAAAGAAAAACCAATGTAGAAACCCACACTCTGGATGGAGGTTGCTGGAGGGACCCAGCTGCCCCCACATTCAGTAAACAGATTAGATATGCTCTTCTTCCTGTGCCCCCAGTAATATCTCCATGGAAACCTAGGACACTCTTCCTTATCCTGAACTGAGAATATGCTGGAAGGGACTATCCTGAGATTGGGAATTCAGAGATTCTTGTCTCTGGGGGCTAGGTGGGTGAGATAAATACAGGAAGTGGGCAGTGGTGGGGACTGGGCAAGTCCTCAGGGCAAAGATAAAAACACACTTTTGGGAGTGGATTTGGCCTCTGGGCCACCAGTTTGAGACTACTAAGCAATGCTGTTCTGTCTTACAATGAGCCAAGCACATAACACCGATGACCTCATTTAATGCCCACAACTCGTCAGTAGGGGGCACTACAATTACTCCCATTTTAGAGATGAGCAAACTGGGGCACAGAGGTAGGCTCTTTCCTCACTCTCAGCTCCTTTATCTAGTTCTCAGAACAACTCTGGAGAGCTTATTGTCCCTCTCCTTTTAGAGGAGGGAGCTGGGGCTCAGAGAAGTTCCATAACCTGCCTGAGGTCACACAGCAAGGAGGTCACAAAGCCAACAGTGCCTCTGATAGGGAAATGGAGGCCCGGAGGGAGCTGAATTGCTCAAAGTCACACAGCCTGTTTAGCAGATTCCGCCACGACTCGGCCTTTTCCCTCAGCACCAGGGCAAAACCGGCTTCATTTTTCTTCCAAAGAAATTAAACTGGGGGAAAAAAATCCTTGGCACACTAATCGCCTTCTTTTGGCTCTTCCACATATTTAGATGAGCATGTCTTACTCTTGCCATAAAAAAAAAAAAAACACAGTCCAAAAAGCAACGTTGTGTTTTTTTTGTTTTGTTTTTTGCAATCCTTTGCACAGGCGTTTCTCAACGTCCTGGCTGAGGCAGGATGGCGGGGAGGAGGCCCTGAGGAAGTAAAGCCGGGAGGAGAGGGTAGAAACGCCCTGTCCCAGGACTCTTTCCTCACCTGTTGACTCTTCCCTCTTCGGTTTGTTCCCCTGAACTTCACTTGTCACCGACTTGGAAGTGCTGACTTGGAACCAGAGGCCCCAGGTTTCCAATTCAGTCTCAGTCACTTACGAGCTGTGCAGCCTTGGGGAGGTGCCTTCATCTCTCTGAGCCTCTGATTCCTCGGTAAAATGGAGACAAAGACTGGCTTGTCAGCGCCTACAATAAGGGTTCAATAAATGCTCGCGCCTCTGGTGTCCCCAACTTGAGGATCAACACGCTTCTCCTTCCTATTGGCCTCCGATTTCTTCTACTCATCCACAAGGGAACATTTATTGAGCGTCTCCCGTGCGCCTGTCCGGTGCCAGGCGCTCAGACGCTCGGAAGTTCTGCAGACCTAATAGGAAGGGGCAGGGGGCAGAAAAGTCGGACTGCGACCACCTTTGCGGCTGCACTTTTTAGGGGCGAGACGCCGAGAACGTCAACGTGCTCCGTTTCCCAATTCCGACGGATGCGTAGAAGTTTAACTTCGGGCGCAGGGTCTTCCCGCGGTGTCCTAGAAGGTGGGCAGGCTCCTCTTACCTCAGGCGGGGCCTCGGACCCGTAACCTCCAAACCTTGACCTCGCCGAGCCTCACGGCCTTCCCGATCCCCGCCTGCTTCAGCGTCTGGGGCTGGTCCCTGGGCTAGTCCAGGGCTCGCCCCGCCCCTTACACAACCCTGTTCCCCCCCCCAAGGACACGTCCCTTAGGGCTCGCCCCGCCCCTGCCCTTAAAGGTACAGGCTACCAGGGAAGACTCGAGGGTTCCTCCCCACTCGCCACCCTTCTTAATCCTCTGCCCATCGGTTCTGCTTTCGCATCTAAAGCAGAAGCGGAGATGAAATCTGAGGGGTAAAGACAGCACGAGGCCGGAGAGAGGGAAGTTAGAGGGTGAAACTAAGGTGAAACTAAGGGCTTCTATTCCCAAGGAAGAGGTGGGCGAGAAGACGCCAAAACACTTCTAGGAGTCAATGGTGATAAGCGGTATTGGAGAAGGTCCCAGGTGGGGAGAGCACCACCTTACCCACAGATATTCCGGCTGTCCTGCCTGAAATGCCTTTATTTGAGAGACCCCCCTACTTGAGTTCAGCATTTCCCTCTAGCAGCATCGCTTTCAAGGGAAGAATGAAGACCAATACTCTAGGTCAAGACGGTGATGATCTATTAGTCCTGACTGATGTAGTCTCTCCCACGTTTCCCAGCCTCCTGGGGAGGGTCTGGTCATCCCTGTCTTCCCTTCCGCTGGCCTGGGGAGAGCACAGAGGTTGGAACGGAGGCGATGAGGCTGGGTGGGAGCCAGTGTCTCCTCCCAGGCCGCCCCTCCAGCCCCGTGCCCACTTCCACCATGGGCGCACGTCTAATCCCACACCCTCCTCTCAAAGTCAGCCAGCTTCGTCATCACCTGCAGGACAGAGGCCCAGCTCTGAGTCTGGCCGGCAGAGGCCCTTCACTGTCAACAAGCCCTAGCGCCCCTTTCTGACTTCCTCATTTACCCCCACCCCTGGCCCCGGGCGTGCTCTAGGCCATGCTTCTGCTCCTCTGAGTCCTCTGCCCCGGGACGCCAGCCCTTCCCGTCTCCACCTGTCAAACTCTTACTCATGTTGCCAGGCCCAGCTCAAACGCCACCACCTCCAGGTGGTCATCTGCCTCTTCCCTGTCCCTCCACCCCTGAGGCTCCTTGCTTTCAGAGAGAGAGCACACCTCTAGTTCCCTACTTGATATGTTTGGAATCTTAGAGCATGGGGTTTCTGTGTGGCTTTCAGTTAACATTTAGACTCTCTGAGCCTCAGTTTCCTTCCCTGTAAATGGGGATGACAGGAGTGCCTACTCATGGTGTCCTGGCAAGATGAAACATAATGCTATATGTAAAGCCCCAAGCCCCAAGTTTGGCGCTGAGTAAACACTCTCTCGATGGAAGGCACTGTTGCTGCTATTACTCCATTAATCCTACAATGCAGTGACTTACCTACCTGTGTCCTGCACTCGTGGGAAGCCCCTCACAGCAGCACGCAGGCCCAGCTGGTCCCCAGGTCCAGGTAGCCAGCACACGGACACCCATAGTTAATGTCTGTGTGTGGGAATGATGGAAACTGCTGTGAGGTCAGCTGCTCCCCAGGTCACCTGCTGCCTGGGGAAGGAGATCAGGAATTGCTGAGTTTGGAGTCTCAGTCCTCCTTTCCTAAGGGGCCCTTTCTGGTACTCAGGGACCCAGCCAGAGTGAGGACTGATGTCACCATCCTAGGTCAGCTGGGCAGGCAGATCACTACCACCCTGTCTCCCTGGGACTGGGGAGGGAGCAGGAGAGGGGACAGAATGAGAGAAGCCCAGGAAGCTTCCAGGAGAAGAATCACTGGGGACAGAGAAGGGAGACAAATGGAGCCTGAGACACAGCCCTGGTTCGCCCCTACTCTGGTGGACATTGATCAGTGTTAGGGCCTCTCTGCGCCTGGGAAAGGCCATTTTGACATCACAGGAGCAGCCTCAGAAGTCACTCGGAACCAGGTTCAAATCCTAGCTCTGCCATTTACTGGCTCCTTGACTTTGGACAAGTCGTCTCATCTTTTTGAGCCTCAGTTTTCTCTTCTGGAAAATGGGGCTGACAATGGCACCTATAGGGTACTCATAGGACAGTGATCAGGATGCACTGAGATTCTATATGTAAAACCCGTAGCCCATTGCTTGGGACTTGTAAAAGCTGAATAAACGGAAGCCGTTGTTCTTATTATCATTATTACTGAGAGTAGAAGGACCTGACACAGTGTCTGGCGCTCAGCAGGTGAAAGTGTTTGTTTCCTTTCCTTGAGGGGAAGGATTTCGTGTTTGTATCAGTTATCTATTGCTGTATAACAAATCATCCCAAAACCAAGAGGCCTAATACAGCAACACATTTTTTGTTTTGTTTTGTTTTTTATCTCCGAGGGTTTCTGTGGGCCAAGAATCTGGGAAGGGCTCAGCTGGACAGGTCCGACACAGGTCTCTCTTGTGGGTGCCGTCAATGGTGGCTAAGCTGGAGTGGCTGGGGCTGCCGGGACATTCCCCTTTCATCGTGGCATCTTGGCATGCCTATCTGCTCTCTCTGCATGAGCTGGTCTCGGGGCTTCCTCAGAGCATGGCGGCCTCAGGCAGCCAGACTGCTCAAATGGCAGGGCCAAGACCTGGGGCAGCTCAGGGACTCGTGTCAGGGTTCCAGGGAACAAAGCAGAAGGCTTTGTTTTGTATTGCCTTTTATGACTTAGTTGTGGAAGTGACACTGTGTCACCTAGTGTCACTTCCACCATAGCCACAGGGCCACCCAGGTTCAAGGAAAGGCAACACAGACCCTGCCTCTCCATGGGAGGTACGTCAAAGTCACTTTGTGGAAAGAGTATGTAGTATGCAAGCTACTGATGTGTCTATGGAAATGCAATCTGCCACCAGGCCTTAATCCACAAAGATGACTAACGATGGATATTAAAGATGATATAACGATGGATATAATGAGTGAAGGAGGGGAGCTATATTTTGGAGGGAGGAGGAGAAAGAACCCTTAAATTCCATTGGGTGGAAAGCTGCCTATAGCATCACATGCAGGCTAGTCCTGTTCTAAGCATCTTATGAACAAACCCCAAACCAATAAAAATAAATAATGACTTTACTTCTTATAAGCGTATTATGAAAATGTATTATGAAAATGAATAATGACCTTGTTGAAGACTTGCTTGTCCTATTTAACAGTCTTGTGGGTTGGGGCTACAGTGATTCTCATTTCGTAGAGGAGGAAAATTACCGTTCAGGGAGACGAAGTCACCTGTCCCCAAGACACTCATTGGGAAGTGGCAGAAAAGGGATTTGCCCCCAGGTCTGTGTGACACCAACGTGAGTCTCCCTTCACCACCACAGCCCGAGGGTTCTCCGTCACTCGTAGGTAAGGTTAGATGTGCCTGACATGCAGCGCGCCCCCTGTTCAGGGCATGGGTGACAGCTCTGGGAATAATCCATGTACCCGGGAAAGCTTGAGCAGAAGTAGCAAGGCTTGAAGGGGAAATTAAAAGAGGAAAGAGAGAGAATCAGAGCTTTCAGTCTTAGCCCGAGAGGCCCAGGGACGTAGAAGTTTCCTTGAGGTGGCTGAGGTTCACCTGCAACCAACACAGGTTCCCTCTTGATCTTAGCAGCCCTGACACAGTCGCTGCACCTAGTTAATCCCCTCCGGGACAAGGTGCTCATTACCTCCCGTGGCAGCCCATGTACCAGTAGACGGTACCAGATGTGAGGGAGTGTTTTCACTGGCATTGCCTGGAGGGGTCTCCATGGGAATGATCCTACTATTTAGAAAGAGTGTTGACAATTGATAAATGTCAATCTTAAGATCCTGGAGAGCGCGCGCGTCTTTTGCGCCACCAGCGCTGCTCCTGGAGCTTGCCTGAAGTAAAAAGGAGATTTGGACAATGCTCTCAGCACAAGAATGTTTACTACCGCAAATTTAACAATGGTGCAATAATTTAAAATACCCTAAATGCCCAATAATGGCCCTTGACATTGTTGCACGCCATTAACAGCATTGTGAAATCCATTTTGGTAAGACTGTTAGCGCACGCCTCTTGGGGTCCCCCCACATATAGTGGATGAGAATTAGGTTCCTCAGATCAGCTAGATCTAGGTCCCCAACTCACTTGAGTTTGCCCCTGGCAGAAGTCACCTCTCTTCTTGGGTTCTGCTTTCCCATCTTTACAATGGGGTTAGGGTTTCATGGATTTCTTAGGGTAGTTGTGAAGATTAAACAAGGAAATGCTCGTTAGGTAGAGGACAGATGTCTTGTCGACAGGAACACAGGATGCCCTGGTGGTCACATGAAGCTTATCCAGGTGACTGGTCACACCTGAGCCACAGCAATGGCCACCAGAGGTCATATGGCCCACATAGGGAGAGTCACAGGTTGAGCACTGGGGCAATGCTGGCATAAGAGGAGCCCACCTAGTGCTGACTAGGCCATCTCTGAGCCAGGCCTGGGTGCTCTCTGCCCGGGAGCCCCGTTCTCCTGGCCTGGCCAGCTTCCTCGGATGGTGGTGACCTTAAAAACTGACTGCGACATGGTAGCACCTGTTACGATATATGTACAGATTGTGAAATGATGAGCACAATCAAACTTACTTATCCATCATCTGACATAGTTACCACTTTTGTGTGTGGTAAGAATACGTTTAAGGTCAACTCTCTTAGCAAACTTCAAATATACAATATAGTGTAGTTAACTACAGGCACTCAATTAGCACTAACTAATGTAATGCTGTACATTAAATCTCCAGAACTTACTCGTTTTGCATAACTGAAACTGCACCCTTTGACCAACATCTGCCCATTCCCCCCCCCCTCCCCCAGCCCCTGGAAACAACTGCTGCTCTCCTCTCGGCTTCTGTGAGTTTGACTATTTTAGATTCCACATATAAGTAAGACTACGCTGTATTTGCTTTCTGTGTCTGGTGTATCTCACTTAGCATAATGTCCTCTAGGATCTATGTTGTAAATGGCAGGACCCTTTAATAATATTCATAATATATATATAATACACACACACACACACACACACATACACCCCGATGTCTGACAATTAAGTTTGCGAACTCATCCTAGAAAAAGTGCTACATACCTCATTGCTGAATATCACTACGGTCACCTTCAAATTACTCCCCTTGGGAAGCTATGCATCCACCCTTCAAAGCAATTTTGGAACTCTTTCTGGAATGGCCATCAGAGCTGTCATCCTGAATGTCATCCAAATGTTTTCCTTTCAATATTTCCTTTATCTTCGGGTAAAGAAAGAAGTCATTGGGGGCCAGATCAGGCTTAGTAGGGAGGGTGTTCCAATACAGTTATTTGTTTACTGGCTAAAAACTCCCTCACAGACAGTGCCGTGTGAGCTGGTGCATTGTCGTGATGCAAGAGCCATGAATTGTTGGTGAAAAGTTCAAGTCGTCTGACTTTTTCACGCAGCCTCTTCAGCACTTCCAAATAGTAAACTTGACTGTTTGTCCAGTTGGTACAAATTCATAATGAATAATCCCTCGATATCAAAAAAGGTTAGCAACATCGCTACAACAAGTTCACAAACTTAATTGTCAGACCTCATGACCTCATCTGTGTGTGTGTATGTGTGTGTGTGTGTGTGTGTGTGTGTGTGTGTATGTGTACACACACACATGATCACATTTTCTTTATCCGTTCATCCATCAGTGAGCACTTAGGTTGTTTCTATACCTTGGCTATTGTGAATGATGCTGTAATGAACATAGGAGTACAGATATCACTTCAAGATCCTGATTTCATTTCCTTCAGATAAATACCCAGAAGGGGGATTGCTGAGTCATAAGGTAGTTTTATTTTTAATTTTTGTGAGGAACCCCAATACTGTTTTCCATAGTGGCTGCACCAACTTGCATTCCCACCAACGGTGCACGAGGGTTCCCTTTTCTCTACATCCTGGCCAGCCCTCGTTATCTTTCGGTTATTTTTTTTTTGGTGTTTTTTGTTTTTTTTATAATAGCCATCCAAACAGGTGTGAGATGATATATTGAGATTTTCATTAGCATTTCTGAAAAGGGTGTTTTTTGAGGGACTTCCCAGAGCGTAGGGACTGCCAGGCTGGCCACTGCCACCAGCTGGTTCTGCTGGGATTTGCCCCAACAGCCCTCAGGTGACGGCCTGTCCTCTGCCCAGCGTCTGTGACTTTCCAGCATCCCTGACCGTCTCCAGTGGTCTATGCCTGACCATTCCCTGAGGCCGGGTCCCCCCCCTCCTTCTTTCCTTCCCTTCGTTGCCCTACCTCCCGAGGCACAGACCCTGCCCCAACCTTGCGCTACACTTGGCCATGATCCTTTTGCCCCCAGCTATCAGTTATCCCTTCAGTGAAGGAATAGTACTGATGTATGCGTGGACATGTTTTCATGTGCTCCGAAAACATCCCAAGGACACATAGACACATTTATTGGCACTCTGGACTCTCACAGTAATTTCCCTTATACCCTATCCTACTCCCCCTACAATTATCCCCATCTCAATGACCATTCCATCCTCCAGGGACTGAGGCCACGGAACACTGGATTCCTTCCCAGCCCACCCCAGCTATTCCCTCAGCGAGTCCTTCCCTGAGAATTACAAAAACTGTATGTCCCAATCTGATGGCTTTTCTACTCTTCCATAGCCACATTCCTGGTCTGAGTGCCCAGACAGCTGCAGGACACTCCTCACCGTCTCCCTGCTTCTGCCCTTGTCATCACCACAGCTGCCAAAGGGACTCTTTTAAAACGCTGAATCATGTCCTACTCTGCTCAAAACTCCCCCATGGAGAAACGTTTTGCAAATCACTGACCTCATAGGGGACTTGGACTAGCATATGTAAAAAGCAAACAAAACGAAATGAAACAAAACCTCCTAAGTTCAACAATACATAAGCAAATAATCCATTAAAAAATAGGCAAAGGATCTGAGTTGACATTTCTCCAAAGAGATAAATAAAGGCCAATAAGCGTATGAAAACATGCTCAACATTTTCACTCATTAGGGAAATGTGAACCAATACTCTAAGAGACTGCTTCACACCCATGAGGATGGCTAAGACTTCAAAAGATGGATAGTAACAAGTGTTGGTAAAGATGTGGAGAAAATGGAACCCTCGTACAGCGGTGAACATGTGACATGATGCAGCTGTTTTAGAAAACAGTTCGGCAGTTCCTCAAAATGCTAAATACAGAATTACCATATGACCCCGTGTGCTAGTCAGCTGGGGCTGCCGTATCAAAACATCACACACTGGAGGCCTTAAACAACAGATAATTATTTCTCACAGCTCTGGGGGCTAGGAAGTCCAAGATCAAGGTGCCAGAGTGGTTGATGGGTTTTTATTTAAGTCAGTGTTTCTAAGTACATTGCTGTTATTATTTTTATGCTCATATTGTCCTAGTGGGAGCCCCGTATAAGCCAGCTCTTGGCCCTTTCGACATGTCTCCATCCTTCCCTGAGTACCTCTTTGCTGTTCCAGGCTTATCTTGTACACTCCCTGGCCAGCCCTGGAGTCAGCCATTTCTCCCAGGAGCTCTGGCTCCCTTTAGTGGACAACAAGATGTAAATACTAGCTGTGCTCATTGTCACCGAGGTGTCATTGCTCCTGGGGCCTCTTAAGTGAACAGAGCTTGGAAATACATATGTACGAGTATGTTTCCAGATTTCTACATAGAAATATGAAAAACCATGAGTTTATACTGATACCTTCATTTTCAGCCCAATACCACAATAACCTTCTGAGACTTTTCTCCAATAGAAATAAGCCTGGATCCCAAACCAGCTTCCTAGCTATTCATTTGCTCAATTCTACAATCAATACACAGAGAATAGTTTCAGAATTGCTACTCCCATCCATTCCGCTTTGAAAATAACAAACCTCTAACACAGAGTTCAAGATTCATTCAGTGTGATTATAGCATTTGTTTAAAATAAGTCAGGTTTGTTTGTTTCTATTTATATTCAGTATTATGGATTTCCCCCATCCTGTTGATTTTTTTCTAGGTATGTAAAATAGCAACACATTTCCCAAAGTCAAAACTATACAAAAAGATATACAACTGAGAGACGTGTCATTCTCTCTCCTAATCCTCAGCCCCATTCTCACCTATCTCCTTGGGGAACCAATTTCATTAGCTTCTGTTTTATCCTTTGCAGAAATTAGAAGATTCAAATAAACGTTATTTCCGCTTCTTTCTTACACAAAAGGTAGCATACTATATATACTTTTTTGTACTTGGCTTTTTTCAGTTAACTCTATGTCTTTGTAATCATGCCAATTCAGTTTTTGGGAAATGTCCTCCTTTAGTTTTTATAGCTGTATTAATATTGCATTGTGTGGATGTTCCAAGTTATTTAATGGCTCTCCTGTGTATGAGCATTACGGTGTTTCTAATATTTAAAAATTACCAGTAATGCCACAGTGCATAATCTTATGTGTAAGCATTTTGAAGTGGGTTGCTGAGTCAGAAGGTAAGTGTGTATGAAGTTTTGTTGGATATTATCTATCTATTTACCCTCCGTTCTGCACACCTACCACCAATGATGCATGTATGCCCATTTCCTCAGGCTCATAAAGGGATTATATTGTCGAGCTGTTATTTATTTTTTTCCTAATCTGATAGGTGAGAAGTGATATTTCAGTGTAGTTTTCTTAACAACTTTTTTTTTTTGAAAAGTGGTACAATTTCTTTGTAGCCTTGTCCCAGTTTCTCCCAATGATAACATCCTATATAACCAGAGTACAATGAACAAAATCAGAAAATTAACATCAACACGATACTTTTAACTAAATTACAGACCTTATTCAGATCTCACCAGTTTTTACATTCAGTCATTGTTTTCGGTGTATATTTCTATGAACTTTTATCCTCAATGTAGCTATAATTTGCATTTCTCTTAGAGTGAAGTGATCATTTCTCACAAGTTTAAGAATCATTTTTACATCTTTTTTCATGAATTGTCTGTTCATATTTTTTTGCCCATGTTTCTATCTGGTTTTCACATTTTTTCCCCCTTAAATTTAAAAAGTTCTTTATACATTAGTGATATTAGCCCTTTATCTATGATATATGTTGTAAATATTTTTTCCCAGTTTGTCAGTTGTTTTTTGACTTTGCTTATAGTGCTTTGGACATGGAAAAAATTAAAGAAAAATTTATGTAGTCAAATGAAATGTATTCATTTTTTTATTGCATCTGTCATTTTATTGCATTTTGAGTCACAGTTAGGAAGCCTTTTCCCATACACAAGTTATGGAGGAATTCATCCATTATTTTCTTCTAGTACTTGCAGTTTCATTTTTTTACATTTAGATTTTCATCATTTAAGAGCTTTTCTTGTGTATGGTGTGAGGAGTGGATCCTGCATCAAATGAAAAAGAAAAAAGGAGAGAGCATTTTGGGGACAATTGGAAAAATTTGAGTAAAACCCTGTATTAGATAATATTAAATGAATGGTAAATTTCCTGTTATAATGGTATATTATGGTTATGTGGGATAATGTCTTTTCTCTTATGAGATACTGTGCATCTGCCGTATTTAGGGTTGACACGTCACGATGTCTTCAATTAACTCTCAATGATTGAGCAAAATTATATATACATATATAAAATTATATGTACATATATAACGAGACATTAATTAAATGTGACAAAATACTAGCAATTGATGGCAGGCATATGGGTATTTATCCTTTTTGCAAAAAGTATTTTCAACTTTTCTCGAGGTTTGAAATTTTGAAAAATAAAAAGTTGGGGGGAAGTGATCTGTACTACGCAGGGTTTTCCCTAGACGGACAGGGATTCCGGAGCCCTTTAAGATGGGCCCCGCTCCTAACGTCCCGCCCCGGGCCACGCCCACCCCGGAAGAACTCGGCCCAAGTCCCGCCCCTTCGCCTCGGCCCGCCGTTCCCCGCCCTCCAAGGAGGAGTGCAGTCACGTGAGCCCGGCTGTGGCGTCCGGCTCCGTGCTGTGATGGTGGCCCCGGCTTACGGCAGCCCCGGTGGCCGCCTGGCCCGGGCGCTGGCCCTGGTGCTAGTCCTGCTGGTCGGGCTGTCTCTGAGCGGCCTGACGGGCGCCATTCCGACCCCGGGGGGTCCCCGGGGATCAGACGGGCCGGTCCCACCCGCCTCCCGCAGCCGCTCGGTGCTACTGGACGCCGAGACCGGCCAGCTACGCCTGGTAGATGGCCGCCACGCGGACGCTGTGGCCTGGGCTAATCTCACTAACGCCATTCACGAGACCGGGTAAGGGTTGGCCCGACCCCGCGCGGAACCAGCTGGGGAGAGGGTTGCGTGGGGCTCCGTGCCTCGCCTGCCCCTAAGGACCAGCCTCTTGCGGGTGACAGTGCCCCTGGCTCCCTGGGGGCCAGTTCCCGCTTCTGAGGCTGCAGCACTACCACCTGGACCATGTCCCTGGTTGGGTGAGAGCTAATGCAACATCTCTCAACTTCATGGGAACTGCCTTCAGCCCGGGGTGACAATACCTCTGTCCCCCTAGAGGCCAGTGCCTGGGCATCAGGGCCTTAAGTGCCTCCATCTGGATCAGGGCCATGGCTGGTTGATAATAAAATAATAACCCCGATTCCCACGCCCTTTCTCTGTACTTACTTCACTTCCCCACCCCCTGGGCCTGTGGGGTGGTGAGCTCTCCAGGAGACTAATTTTCACTTCCTTGATTGTACTATACTTACCCCACAAGTGCCAGCCCCTTGCCTCCATTTCAGGACCAGGGCAGCGGGACCGAGCCTGGGTTCCAGGCCAGCTGGAAAGCAGAGGGTCCCCAAATTCACGCAGACCCAGGTATTAATAGTGTCATTGCCTGGGCTCCGCTCTTCCCTTGGTTCTTCTCTCCTGGTCCAGGGGAAAGTCCCGTGGCCAGATACTTAGCATGGAGCCAAGTGCTCTGTCTTTGGCAGTTGTGGCCACTGTCCTTATCGCTGGGACTGTCGTTCTGATGTGTGACACTCACCTAACTCGTCCGCCTATCTCTGGCCTCCCATTTTCAAATCCGCGGCCCGGATTTTGAGGATGGGCTCTGGCTGAGGTTAGGTGATGCCCCCTCAGGCTTTCTACCAGAGCTTGGGCCTATTCATTCCTTTCTTTACTCACCTCGTGCACTTGGCCTTGGGGACACAGAGCCAAGCAGGTCGGGGAGGGGGGAACCCCATCCAGTGGGTTAGACAGTGCCAGTAGGGAAACCCGAGTGGGAGTGGGGAAAGTCTGCCTCAAAGTCTTGTCAGCAGCGCCCAGGCCCTGAATCCAGGTTTTACTGGGGACCTTAGGGAACTCTGCTCCCCCCCTTATCCTGGGCTCATCCCAGTGCTTACACTGCATTGCCCGCTCCAGCAGGCATGGCCTCCTCCCACTGCTGCCCACATCCATTTTGCCGGCATGCATTAATTCTTGAAGGTGTTGGGAGACACGGACACCCTCATGCAGGTGCTTTGTGGCTCTTGGGAGGGTATAAGATGGATAGACAGATAAAAGGGAGATTTGGGGGAGGGGACAGGGTGGAGGTAATCTGGGAAGGCTCCCAGGGAGAGGAGGCCACAGGGTTGGCTGGCATCAATGGAGGGAAGCAGAGCTTTGTGGCTCCGTGACTCTGGAACCTGGTGACCCATTCTCAGCTGACTCACACATGCTTAGCAGAGCCAGGAGGTCATGACACATCGCAGCCTGGCTGCCAGCTAGAGGAGGCAGCACAGGGATGAGGCCAAGCAGGGGGAGGGGGCTTTGGTCCTGGGAGACCCCCTACTGCGCTGCATTGCGTGGAGAGAGAGGACTTCCTTGATGGTGCTGGATGGAAAGCTCTGCCAGGCCCGGCCCCACAGCTGTGTGACCTTGGGTAAATCACTTCACCTCTCTGAGCCTGTTTCCTCACCTGAATGTGGGGCCTGAAGGGAAATTCAGTGTGATCACAGGAAGCACCTGTTTATTGACTGCAGAAAGGAAGGTGTGAGTGAGAAAGGAGCAGGAGCAGGTGTCCTCTGCCCGCATTTTACATTTGGGAAAACGGAGGCCTGAAAAGCGAGCCCGGGTCTTTTTCACCCTTCTTGCTCTCACTTCGCCGTTCCAGCATCTTTTTTGTCTGGTCTCTTAGTCCCTCCTCTTAGACTCACATGCCCCTTAACCCTGTGAGTCTGACAGCACTTGGGGCTATGATGTAGGGAAAACCGTATCAGAAGCCCCCACTTTATAAGCAGGGAAACTGAGGCCCTTGAAGACACCCTCTTGAGAACTCAGGGCTAAGATGAAACAAAGACATAGATGTGCTTGCCCCTGGTCAGCAGAACCTCTGACCTCTGGGTGACTGTCTCAGTTTTTGAAGAGTGGAGACCAGATATTTGACTCTTCACCTAGAATGGGGATCCCTCCTTTTTTGTGACCCCCAGATTTCACCACTGGGGATCTTGGAATAAATTCCACATCCTCTTCATAATCTCTCCTCTTTCAATTGTGCTGTATCTGATTTGGTCCCCCCACGCAGCCTGGAAACATTTAGGATTTAATGCTCGGGGCTCAGAGATGCCCCCCAGAGGTGGCCTGTGCCAGCCCAGGGCTCTGGCCTTCGTCCTGGGGAGGCCGCCCCCTCCAGCCTTTACCTTTTCCTCCTTCCCTGACCTGATTCTCCAGCCAGCTGTTTGATGTAAATCACCTTGGAGCTGGGAGAGGAAGTAAGGATCAGTCAGTAAAATGGAATAATACCGCCCAGCTATTTCTCTGGAAAGTCACAAAAGCTAAACTTGCCATCAAGAATGAGAAAGGAGGGGTAGCCACAGATAAGGGGGGCATCTCACCTAGTGAGGGTGCCCGGGGAATGCTGTGCGCCAAAGCGGGGTGGTGATCCCCTGCCCACCTCACAGGAATGGGCTGGCTTTTCCCAAACCTGGCCTCTGGATCAGACCCTGGCATAGGCTCGGAGGCGCTTAGCCACCCCGACATAAAATCATGTGAGAAAAGGTTGGGTTAACAGACCCAGTGCTGCCAACCTTTTATTTTTATCAAGCAAGCGCATTAAAAACAAAACAGAACAGTATTTATCGACCTCTGTCCCTTTTATCTCTTAGGGGATCAGCTATTTTAGAGCCAAACAAGCAGAAGGCTGAGGCTGGAAGGGCTGGGGAGTGGGGTATGAGGCAGAGTTTCAGGTTTACTATCAGAGAGATCTAGGACACTTAACTACAGGTGGCCCTGGCAGTGCTGAGGATCGTGACAACCTTGCAGGGTCAGAAGAAATCCTTTGATTAGAGCTTATGGCCCAAGGCAACACGGGAATCCTCAGAGATCAACCTCAGGCGCCCCAGCACGGAATCACATAGCTGGGAACCAAACCTGGCTCCTGGGAGCCTCCCCCACTCAAGGCATTCTGGAAAGAGAGGCGGAAGCCCACCCACCTGGGTTTTCTGAGGACTCAGGCAAAATGAATAAGAGTCATCTAAACCCAATCACCCCAGTGGCCCTTTGGTATCAGGTGACACTCTTGAACAAGGGTAGTGACTGATGCCATATTTATGGTGCTGTGAGGCCTGGCAGGGGGCCAGAGGGTGGGGACGTAGTCACTTTCCACTTATCCTTCTTTCTGCCCAGCTTGAAAGAAGCTGCGCTTCTCCTTTAAATGTTTGTAATTATTAGAAAAGTAATTAACTTTTCCTGGTAAAGATTCTAACAGTTTAGAAAGGTTCGGGATGGAATGTAGGAGGTAAAACTCCACCCCCACCATTTTATCTTTCAGTATATAACCACTGTTAGCTCTTCCAGAATGTTCTGTGCATAAACAGGGCCTAAACATGCATACATATGTATATGTATAGGGGCGTGTGTGTGTGTGTGTGTGTGTGTGTGATGCTTTTATACATGGATTTATCTGTGTCTAGTGTCGACATAAGAAACGTCCAAACCTGTACAGAATTTTTATAAGAGTTTATGTGACCCAGACATGTGCCAGGGAGCAAGATAGCAGATCTCCCAAGAATAACAGTTTTGCAGCTTCTTTCAAGCATTTGATTACTAGAAGGTGGGAGAAAGTGAGGCGAGGATTGGATTACAGGACGGTTAACAAGATCATGTGTTCTCTTGAGGGGTTTATTTCAAAGGTGTGTTAACCCAGATGCACAGAAACAATGGGCAGAGGGCAAAGATAAACCTTTTGCTAAAATGTTATATGTCTGGAGTGTGACTACCCGCCTGTGATCTGCCCTGTTAGGAATTTATGATCAGATCACCCTGTGAGGTTACTCTCCATAGAACTCCCTTTTTTTCTGTTCACACTACCACTTGTCCTTAATCTTTTATTGTTTTTAAGTTTATCTCTGACATCTTGTCAGCACATGGCATTCCACCACGTGGTTCTAGAAACCCACTGAAGGTATGGCTGGATTATTGGGTCAGGCCCCTAATGGTGGACATTTCAGGAGGGTCCAGTTTCCCTGGGCTCTAGTGGAAGATGCTGCTGTGAAAAATGACCCTCACACCCACCTCTGAGGGCTTTATGAGTGCCTGCTCACAGGATGGGTTCCTAACCGCTGCCTATCTCCAGGGCCTCAGCACCATGGCCTTGCCCGAGCCCAGGAACCCCTGGAAGGAGCAGCTGTTTATCAGGCACTGTCTGGAGGAAAGCCACTGGCCTCTCGGTTATAACGGGCTTGTGCCTGATCAGCTTTTTTGGTTTTATGGAGTTTGTGTTTGGTCTCCCTTGATCCCCTGCTATTTTTTATCATGAGGGAGGGTCTGCATATGGAGCCCTGTTATAATCTTCCTCCCATCACCAAACCTACCAGGTCTTCCCAAACTCCCCTCTTAGATTCTCAGGGAGACAGATGTTTCGTGAGCGTAGAATGTGTGTTATCTCCTGGCACACGCCGTTGCAACCCTCTGAGGGGTGAGAGTCACCAGCCCCACTTTACAGATGAGGAAACTGAGGCCCAGAGAGGTTCAGTACTTTTCCCAGAGGTACACAGCTGATAAGAGAGAGACCTGGGGATTCAAACAAAGTCTGAGGGACCCACACACCTAGACTATTTGTCCTTTACTTGCCTTGAAATGTAAACATCTTCATTCCAGTCTCTTGTGCTTCTCTGTCCTTATCTGTGATTATATGTGAGTCTTTAGCCTGAAGTTTATGGCTCTCATCTTCCTTTGATAAAAACTAACTGCCCCGCCTCCCCCCAAAAAATACCCCGCAAAACTCAGTTGAGTTAGAGGCTCAGAGCACATGCTCTGGAACCTTAGCCTCAGCTCTACCACTTACTTGCTGTGTGACCTTGGACAAGTAACTTGGCCTCTCTGAGCCTCACTTGGTTCCCACATCTATAAAGTTGGGAGAATAAAACTCATGTCCTAGGGTCTTTGGAGAATTTAGAGAGATAAGTAAACTTGTCCTGGGTTTAGCACATGCCTGGGGGCTGTTGTTATCCACCATAGTAGGACCTCATTACCAATCCCCACATCTTGTTGGCCTCAGCATTCTTTGCCTTGGAACATTCAGAGCTCAGGCTTCCTTCTGTTACTTCCCCTTTTCTCTCCCCCTTCCCTGGAAAGCTCCTACTTAAACTTCAAAACCCAAAGCAGCCGTAACCTCTTCTGTGAAGCCTTCCTGGATTTTATTCTACAGCAGGAGCTTACCTCCTCAGGGCACCCCCTTGGCATTTGATTCCTTTTCTTATCATAGCAGTTACCCTGTTATGTCATTATCTGTTTATGCATCAGTCACCCCACCCCACCCCCATTAGCTTTTTGAAGTCCAGGACTGGCTGTCACTCATCCTTACATTCCCTCCATGTCGGCACCCTGTAAGTACTCAAAGAGGCTTGCTTGCCAAAAGTATCAGGTGTGGGTATTTTGATAGTCTTTCCCTCTCCAGAGCCTCCTCTAGGGCACAGCTATTCCTGTCCTGGAGCTCTGGTGGTTTTTTAGCCAACTTCCTATGAGACAGTCCTGGCCGAGCCGGGCCCTCCCTTGTCCTGTGGCTTCTTTAAGGTCACGAGTGTCATCCTGTCGCCCTCATGTTCTTAATAGAAATTGCCTTAACGCATGTTTTCCTCCTCATTATAGAAGTCACCTGGGTAAATAGTTTTGTGTCCTTGGAACAAGGATGAAATCTAGACCCATAAAGGAAAAGAGATCTACAGATTTGGCTGCACAAAACCGAAAATCTCTATTTGGCAAAAAACAAAAGCAGAAATCAATGAAAATACAAACATATTTTCAACTTTAGTGACCAGCCAAGGACTATTAATATGTATAGAGGATTTCACCAATCAATAAGAGAAGGTTTTCAAAAAAACACAATAGAGAAAAATAAATCAAGGACACAAAGCAAAGAACTATAAATGACCGAGAAAAATAAGAAAGTATGTATAGCTTAACTAATTAAAGGACTGTAGTTAAAACAACATGATTGAATTTTTCAACTGTCACCTTAGCAAGGATGACAAAGATTGCCAGGCATCACTTTCAGGAAGGTAGTGGGCAGACAGGAGAATGTCCCCTGCTTTGGTTCCAGGACTGGCAGGCAGGAGCCCAGAGCCTTGGGTCCTACCCTAGGTGCTCTGATCAGAACCTGCTTCCTAACAAGGTCTTCACGTGACCTTGATACCCATCAGAGCTTGAGAAGCACTGCTTCACAGGAGGAGTGGGGCCAGCCTGCCCAGAATGGAAGCCAGAATCCAGGCTCTGCCCCTTGCTAGCTCGGTGACCTTTGGCAAGTGTGTCACCTGGTAGTGGGCTACAGTGCTGTGTAACAGACCACCCCTCAAAGCCGGTGACTTACAACAACCATTTAACCTCCTGGGTCCATGGGGCGCTGGGGCAGCTCCACTTTATGCTGGAGGGCTGCAGACCTGGTTAGCTCCTTGTGTCTCTTCTATATCCGGGACCAGTGGACTGGCCAGCGTACCTTCTCATGGCAATAGCAGAGGCACAGGCGGGCAAGGGGAAACAGGGTGGCCTCTTGAAGGCCCGTGTTATAACTGGCACATCGTCACTTCCACCCATATTCCTCCAAGTGGCCAAAGCAAGTCGAATGATGTGACCGAGCCCAAATCAAAGGGGCAGGGAAGGACACTCAGCCGTTAGTTGGGAGGGCCTGCAAAGTGACACAAGACAGGGCGTGGCTGTGGGGAGAGGGGTCAGCAGGGCCATCCACCGCAGCAGTTACATAACCCGTGCTTTAATTTCCTCCTCTTCTGTATGATGGAGACAGTAACAGTGCCCACTTGGTAGGACTGTGGAATTGTCTTGAGGATGAAAGAGTTAAGCGATATGAAAGTGACTAGAACAGTGCCTGGGACACAGGAAGTCCTCAGTAGATATTAGCTGGTGTTATCATGGGCGGTGGGAGTGAGGGTTAGTGCAGCTTTTGAGGGGGAAGCTGTTTGTCACTATGTATTCAAATTAAAAATACATGTTCCCTTTGACCCAGCATTTCCTCTTTCAGGGATTTAGCCAGATGTGCACAGCAACAGACAGACAGGCAGACAGTCATGTGAAAGGCGGTTCATCACTTTTTTTGTATCGTGTAACCCTGGAGGTGGCCGGGTGCCAAGCGGTGGGCAGGCTTCGCGCCGGTCCCTGCACCGACCCAGTGTCCCCTCCCCTCCCTTTCCAGGTGGGCCTTTCTAGAGCTGCGCACCAGTGGCCACTACAATGACAGCCTGCAGGCCTACGCAGCAGGCGTGGTGGAGGCCGCCGTGTCCGAGGAGGTAAGCGCCAGATGGGGGAACCTGGGGCTCCCGCCTGCCCTGCACCACTGAAAAATGTGTTACCCCGGGGAGCGTTAGAGGGTTCCGAGATATGGGCAGAGTGGGCTCCGCCCCTGCCCCCAGCCCTCCATCTAGCGGGTGGGGGGGGGGAAAGGCTCCCATGCATGCGTTCAAAATTTACACCACGTGCTCTTTGATGCGTATAAAAAATATGTAACATATTCCAAGTTACGAAGCGTAATAATAAAATGAACACCCACGCTAAAACCCAGAATGTTACTGATATCGTTGAAGCCCCCCTCCCACCCGCATCCCCCTATCCCCTAAGGCACCTGCCACCCTAAATGGGGTGGCTGTCATTCCCTTTCTTATAAATCAATCATTTATATTGAGCTACATAGTTCATAGGCCATAAAACGCACTGTTTTAAAATGTACAATTCAGTGTGGGTTTTTTTTTAGTATTTTTATAAGGTTGTACAGCCATCACTACTGTCTAATTCCAGAACATTCTTATCATCCCAGAAATGCCATGCCCAATTAGCAGTCTCCTCCCTTTTTTGCCCCAGCCCCTAGCAACCATTAATCTGCTTTCTGTCGCTATGGATTTGGTTATTCTTGACAATTTATGTAAGTAGAATCCTACAATATCTGGTCTTTTGTGCCTGACTTCTTTCACTTAGCATCGTGTTTTCAGGGCTCGTCCATGTTGTAGTGCGAGTCAGCGCTGCATTCCTTTTTAGGGCCAAATAATACTCCATTGTCTGGATATGCCATTGTATTGATCCATTCATCAGTGGGTGGGCTATTGAGTTATTCCCATTCCCTTGCTTTTGTTAAACTAGTTGTACTACATGTGGTGAATCCTTAAGCAACATATTCTTTTGCTTTACTTGATTTGGGGCTTTAGAAAAGTGATCATCATAAATTTCAGAAGCCAGACAATATCAGAAGTGGTGTGACGGCCATGCTGCCACACTGTGGGTGGAGGTGTGACACCCACTGTGGAAAATAATTTGGCATCAGCTTGTAGAGTGGAATGGGTACTTGCCCTAGGCCCCCAAGGTCCCACTGCTTAGATGTGTACCTTAGCGGTGACCTGAGGACGAGCATGAGGTGTTCAAAGCGGCCCCAAGGCATGAACACCCAAATGCCCCCAGCGGGTGAGTGGGTAACCAGATGTGGTAGTCACACAGTGCAGTACGATAAGAGAGTAAAAATGAATCAGCGATACGGATCAATCTGAGGTGCATGATGGCGACAGGGAAAGAGCACATCACAGAGGACAGCATACAGCGTGACAGTTTATAAAACCCACAGTCGTCATTCTGACACCTGGTTGCAGTTTTGGACCCCCCTCCTGGACCTTGATACCTGGGGAGCTGGGCTGGGCCTGTCCTGTGCTGACGGACTGAATGAATACATGTGTAGACTGGGGGTCCCCAGTAACAGAGGAGGTGTGACCTAGGACAGATTTTGAATGACGAAGGCTTCCAAAGGAGGGAGCTGTCCAGAGGCGTCAGGCCCCGTTGGGGCTGAGGGCTGGACGGGTGAGAAGGGCCTCCAGGGAGAGGAACCAGTGTGAGCAAAGGTGCAGAGGCGGCCTCTCCAACGCTCTTTGGAGACCTGGATACGGGTGAGGACCCTGCGCCCAAGTGGGGAGCCCGCGGGGTCCTCAGGGCAGAGAGCAGCCCGGCTGCCCGGCCCTGCCCTCGCCCACCTCGCCCACCCCACAGCTCATCTACATGCACTGGATGAACACGGTGGTGAATTACTGCGGCCCCTTCGAGTATGAAGTCAGTTACTGCGAGAGGCTCAAGAGCTTCCTGGAGGCCAACCTGGAGTGGATGCAGGAGGAGATGGAGCAGAACAAGGACTCTGCTTACTGGCACCAGGTGGGCCCAGCCGCCATGCTCAGTGGGATTGGGCGGCGGGATGTGTCGGCTTCGGGGGCCTGACCCCGCCAGGGCTGCTGCCTTTCCAGCTGGCGACTTGCCTGTCTCCTGCCCCCCTTGGCCAGCCCTCTTTGGAGTATCCATTATCTCCCATCCCTCCTAGCCGACCTGCCGTTCATCCATCTGTCGAGTCTCTACTTGTCTTTACTTCCATCCATCCACTTGATGGACCTCCAGCCATGCATCCTAGCCCACCTACCTCTCCAACCTGTTCTGCCCTCCTACTGTCAAAGAATCAGTGAAGACATGTCATTCATTGTTATTCATAATACGCTGTTTTACTTGCATACAAGGGAGATGGCATTGATCGATTGCTTATGTCTGATGCAGGTGAAAACAGCCTTTATAAAAGAGAAAGAGGGAAAGGGGAGAGCTAGAAAGCCCAGAAAAGGGCTGGCCGAGTGGTTCAGTTGGTTAAAAGCTCGCTCAAGAGTTTGAGCTCTGAGCAAAAGCGGTTCAATGCCCGGCCCGAGCTGAGCAGCCGCTGAGCTGCCAATAGGTGGCAGGATGGCTCCGCTAAAAAAAAAAAAAAAAGAGAGAGACTTATAGAAAGCCCAGTAAGCTTGGGCACAGTGACTTTGTTTCCCCTTGCTTGGGTGAGCTGCCCATCAGCCGGCTGCTAACAGAGACCCAGGCAGCGTGCTCTGCCTTAGGGCCGTTGGCCAGGTCATCAGTGAAGCCATTTATTTATGGGTTCCCTGGAACACCTCAAGAGTTTAACTGTGAAGTACACGCCACAGGCAGTTCCTGGAAAATGGCTGTCAGTGCCGGTGAGTGCCTCCACCTCGCCTAGGCCAGGTGTGCACCTTTCCCTCAGTAGAATTTCTCACTGTCCACCCACCCACCTACTCATACCTTTACTAGAACAGGCTCGTCCACCCACCCACCTACTCATACCTTTACTAGAACAGGCTCGTCCACCCACCCACGCACCCTGCCGTCCACCCATCTGTTCACCCACCCACCCATCTCCCTGTCCATCCTCCTA